CTGATGTAAAACAAAAAAGGATTGGAAGGGATGAGAAGTTAGAGAAGAGGAAGAGCATCAAGGACACATGTTTATATGTGATTAGAGAATTTGACATAATAAATATAAGAAATTTGATGTAAGTATGATCATATATACACACATATTGATTGTTGCATAAACAAACAAGTCATAAAATAAAAGAAAGGACAAATGAGTGTTTTTGCAAGGTGCTTCCGTGTTTTGTGCATGTTTATCCGAAGTTGATGATCAAGTTGGGGAGAATGAAAAGTTTTCTTCATATTTTTTTTTTAAATGGAACGAAAAATCCCTTTCCCGTGTTTGATACAAAATCTCAATAAATAAAATAAATTATTTTTCAAGAATTTTAATTATATTCCATATTAACATAATGATAGTTGTCGAAACAAACAGGTAAAAAATATCTATCTTTATAAAAGTTACAATTGTTATAAAGTTCTAAGTAAAGAACATAATTACTAAAAAGTTTTAATAACAATAAAGCAGCTTATAATGATATATTTTTCAATAGTGAATTACAATTGCTCGTTTGTTATTGGGATTTACTAGTAATTATTTTCTTTTATTAGATTTCATTGTAATTCTGTGTTCTTATAAAATTAGTGCTGTTAAATAATGAATATGGGAGAAAATGATAGTTTTTTTTATAAAAATATCCAGCCATTCACATTTGCAACTTGTAAGTGACATCAACTATATATAACTTAAATAGCACAATAGCCTCCTACTTACGCCTAGGATAACACTGCATATCTTTTTAACATCAAAATGTGTTTGATGTATTTTTATATGAAATCTAAAAAATAAACTATGTATCATAACTTATAAATAATATAATTTATTTTATTATAAATTAGCACACACATGCATACACATATTTACATATAATACTACCGCTAGTCCTTAATATAAGACCCTATTTGACTTTTATTTTGATCATAAATATAAGACTCCAATCTACTTTATCTCTCATATTTATATATTTTTTTTTCCAAAGTAGTCATTCTAATAATGATAGTTCTAATCAATATATTTGATTAGCAAAGATATTTTAGGAAAGACAACACCTATTTAGGATAAATAACTAACTCAACTTACTTTCTTAATCTCCTTAAATTAGTCAACTGGCTCTTATAATTATGACTGGAGGTAGTATTTGAAAAGTCGTTTGGCAAAAAAAAAAAAAAAAAAGAAAAGTCGTTGGCGGCCAGTTAAAAAAAAAAAACAGAAAAAGTCATGCTATCCAAAAAATTATGCTAGTTTTTCACAATTCTGTTTTTTCCCCCAAAAGTTTTCCACAATTTTTATAATTAACTGGGCTCGAACTAGTTTTATACTCTCTCCATTCTAAGGAGCTATTTGATGAATTTTGTTTATTTTGATCTTAAGCATAAAATTTAATCCCTTATGTCTCCCATATTTGTTAAATTTTTTTTCACAGACTACCTCTACCAATTGCACACATTTAATTTAATTTGTGCTATCAATAACGATAGTTATGAAGGAGCCAACTTGAAGGAGATGCATTTTACAAACACTAATATGCTTTTTTTTTTTTTAACATATAAATAACTTAACTATTTTTCTTAATTGATATAAATCAATTGTTTATCCCTTACATTTAAAATCAGGGATAGAAATTTATATATATATATATATATATATATTAATAGAATGATATTTTATGCCACTTCCTTTATATTAGTTACTTTTTGAAATGCCTAATTTACAAGTGAGATTTTCAATCGTTTGACTCTCCAATCTCCATTATTGAAGTTAGAAAAGCCATCTCTCCCTCCCTCTTCCCTTCTCTCTACTTGTAATGTTCCACGCAGCCAAGTTGGTTTTTTCTTTATAGAAGACAAAATCATATTATAATAAAAGTATCATGACACAATACACATATAGAAAGTGAACAAGAATGAGAATTAAAAAGCCTATAAAAAAATGTTGGTTGTGTTGTTCAAATTGTGACATCTGAAAAAGAAGCCGGCACTGAGAGGATATTCTATTATATAACATATGCTTCAAACCATAATTAGAACGATTCAATTGAATGAATTACTGCAGATAACCTCTAGATTTAATCTTCGTGAAGCAAAAAAAAAAAAAATTCATTTTTTTAAAACCCAGCATATATTAGCAGCACAAAAACATTGAATGAGAAAGACATTACAACCTGTATATATATTACCTGTCCCATATAAACTGCTGCAAAGCTAATCCATTAAAAAAATAGAATTAATATCATTGTTGATCCTTATAGCTTTATTCAATTTTGGTTTTGGTTTTTATATTTTCAAATCGCTGGTTTTAATCTTTATAGTTTCACAAGGATTTAATCTGATTTTAAGTACAAGGGATAGAAACTAAGGGTAGAAGCAGGCCAGAAGACCTGTCAAGGGTTTATAGCATGGCCTGTATTTGGCTTGGCTTGGCCTAACCTGTTATACAAAAAAAGTAGGTTTAGGCCTGTTTAAAGGCCTGTTTAACTTAATATGTCAGATTTAGACTTTTTGATGCCTGTTATAAATTTATAATTATAATATATAAGAAAAATTAGTTAATGGTACTATTATTAATATGCTCCTTTAATTTATTTTTTAATATATATTTAATGGCTTAATGCTTCCTTGGATTTGAAGTTTAGTTGACAAGTAAAGATAAAAATATAATTTAAAATAATAATATCAATAACTAATGTGATCTTTAAATTTTAAAAATATAGATAAAATAGGAAAGAAAAATTTTGTTCCAAGAATGATAAATTAATTAACTATGTGTTATGTTAATTAAATTATGATACCCTCTTTATTCATTGTAAAGTTAATAGTTTTTTCTCTTTATTTATTGGAAAAATTGGTAAAAAATCTCTGGTTGAAAATTTGCAATCAATAATGTGTAACAATTATCAATACGGAAGTCATTTGCACACAATGAAAGATAAGTTGCACACACCGAAAGATATGTTGCACTCACAGATCATACTTGTATGTGCTCACATTCAAGTCCTTTTAGCCAATTAAATTTTCAAACAGGGATTTTTTTTATACTAATTTTCCCTTATTTATTTGTCTTGATTTTAATTTTTATTTTGTACTTAAACGTAGTCTTGTTCCAAATTTTAATATACAATTATAATTAGTTTTGAATAATATATATCCTTGTAAATTGTAATTAAGATTTAAAATAGGACTTATGACACTAAAATATAAATAAAAAACAAGACTAAAAAATTAATTATAATGTACGCTTTTTTTAAGCTTAGCTTCTTTTTTTTTTAAATATCACTATGTAATTTGAATTTTTTAAAAATACATGTTTGTTAACAGGCTTCAGGCCAGGTCAGGCCAGGCTAGGCTTTTATATAAGTTAGGCTCAGGCTGATAGGCTATAAAACAGGCATGGTTTGTTAAAAGTAAGGTTTGGCTTGACTTGACTTGTTTTCACCCTTATAAAAACCATAGCTCTTTAAAAATATAGAGACCGTTTGTTAAACTCAGACCAAAAAGTTATGAAACTATAGAAACCAAAACTAATAATTAAAATTATGGGATCAAAATCGAAATTGGATCAAACTATAAAGACTAATAATGGCATTAACTCATAAAAATAATAGCATCAAATGATAAGATCCGTTTGGAAAATGTGATACTCCAGCCATCAATTGATAAATGATTTATTGAGAATGTGGGCTTAATTAGTTGATCTTTCTTAAAGCATGATATATCTTTCACATGATACAAGGCTTTTGCTCCATCCAGTTTCTTTTGCTCAGCTAGATTTTTATGTTATGTAATCTATGTTTATTTTCTTTTACTTCTGTATTTCAATCTAACCTTCTTCAGTATAAATCTTTTGGTTTTCTTTCCAAAAAAAAAATTTGTTGATCTTTCTTGATGACTTGCAATTCTTAGTTAGAATATGCTAAGTGTATGACAGAGAGCAAAAGCCAAGTTGCTTATTATGTATACCACGTGTTGCTTCTGTTTAATAGAACTTGCTTTTACTCAAAAAGAAAAGAAGGAGAAAACCCATTTCAGGGGGGAAAAGTTAGAAAACCAGCCCCTTGTTTTCGCACGTTGTTTTGTTTTTAACAAAAACAACTGCTTTACCAAAGTATATCTGTTTTGAATCATTAATTTTCGAAATATTACCAACTAAATAATGCATCGCAATTGGTGTAATTAATTTTTTTTAAAATTTTTTGGGTCAAGGGATAATTTGGTTATAACTTGTAACCAGTCTTGTCATGGATGCGCCTATGTCCAGGAACAAGGAATCACTCAATTTCCGGATTCGCATAGATCAAGTAAATTTGTCGTTTCATATCATAAGTCCTCATGGCTTCTTTCCTTTTTCGTATTTTTTTTCTTTTTATCCTTTCGCTTTTTTAATTAGATGCCCAAGCTTTATGGGGACATGGAGCCGTCCCAGTTGACAAGTTTAATTTGGTGAAGGCAAAATGAAAATTGGATTTGTTTGGGTTAAAGAGTTGGTTTTTTAACAATAGTTAAATATGGGTTAATCTAATTATAATTAAGATAAGTTATTTAAAATGTACAAATATATATAATATAGAAAAGAATAATATTTAAATAAAGTGGCATTAATAATCCACAAACAAATGGAGCATCCATGCATAGATCTTATACAATTCGACAAAATAGAGTTAATAGAGCACGAATGCGACATGTTTTTTCAAACTCAAAATGATGTCATTTTAACGTTAACAAAGAGAGAGAAAAAAATGAAATTTAATCCTTCCAACTAAGAAATTGGTTTATTAGCTTGACTGCCTAATCTGGATTGAGTTTTCATTACATGAGTATCATATAATTTTGAAGGGAAAAAAAAAAAAAACAATTGACATAGACCTTTCTAACAAAATGCTTTTTCCTTTAACAGGACACGTAAAACCAGCTAGTATATAAATCCGTAAACACCCTCCAAATGAAGTATCAATCTCCTAATACTAAACACACTTATTGTCCATATCTCGATCTTCTCTCAAATTCCCCACTTTGATTTTGAGAACTTATTAATGGCGGCGCTACAAGCTCCTTCTAATCTTGTCTTCACCGTGAGCAGGTGCCAACCGGAGTTTATAGCTCCGGCGAAGCCTACTCCTCAGGAAGTGAAGCTTCTTTCAGACATAGATGACCAAGCTGGTTTACGAGCCCAGACTCCATTCATACACTTTTATCGTTCTGAACCTTCCATGGCAGGGAAGGATCCAGTAAAAGTCATCAGAGAAGCATTGGCTCAGACACTTGTGTTTTACTATCCATTTGCAGGAAGACTTAGAGAAGGTGAATTTGGCAAACTTATGGTGGATTGTAATGGGGAAGGCGTTATGTTCATTGAGGCTGATGCCGATGTCATCCTTCAACAGTTTGGTGATGATCTTCATCCTCCATTTCCATGCTTCCAAGATCTTCTTTACTCACCCGCAGGTTCAGATGGAAACCTTCACTGTCCCATCTTGCTCATTCAGGTCTCACATCCCCTTCTCTCTCTCTCTCTCTCTGCTTGCTAAAGTATATACTCTCTCCTCTCCTTAGGGAATTAATTAATTTGTATAGATTAAGAAAATGTGAGTTGATTTTTCATAAAATATTCCCTTTTATCTATTTTATCATCTGGATCAGAAACCACTTTCTTAGTATGAAAAGCCCTTTAATATGTGCAATCGATAAAGAGAGTTTAGCCAAAAATTATAAATTTAAAAAACGAAATAGACTGAAATATTATATTTAGAATTAAAACAAATCCCCCTACTAGAGATTTGGATCCTCTCTTCTTATCATTTTTCTCTTCTTTTTCTCCTCATCCCATCCTTACCATTCTAAATATAAGATCAACTTAAGTCTTAACTAATTAGAAAAATGAGAAAAAATGCCTGTTGAATTTCAAAATGATAAATGGGTGATATTAACAGATTCTGACTTATAAAAATTATTACAAAAATAGTCAGCACCAACTATTTGTCATTTTGAAATCCAACAGGTATTTTTTTTTGGCTATTTTCCCTTAATTAATTAATTGTAATTTATGATATAGATAATTTGTGACATTTCTTCAAATATGACTCTACTATTTAATTACTAAAATTTAATGCGCAGAGATAAAATAATATAGTTCAATAAATAGGATATATTATAGAAAAGAAAATTTTAATATATGGTTGACAAGAACAAATGTGACCTTATATTTAATTAGAATCAGGATAAAATCTTCAAGTAGACGTTATATTTATGATAAGCAGCAGTGTGTGAGAGAGAGAGAATTTTGCAATACTAATATGATCCATCTTCATGAATTATAGGTAACACGTCTCAAGTGTGGTGGCTTCATCTTTGGCCTTCGCATGAATCATAGTATGAGCGATGGACCTGGTATTGCACAATTCATGAAAGCCCTGGCCGAAATAGCCAAAGGTGCAACCCAACCTTCGATTCTACCAGTCTGGAACAGAGATCTTCTAAACGCAAGAGACCCACCAAACATTACACTCACCCATCATGAGTACGATGAAGTGGTCGGCGACCATATTCCCTCCACCAACATTGTTCATCGGTCTTTCTTCTTCGGACCCTCCGAAGTCTCATCCCTCCGTAGATTACTTCCCAACCACCTAACCCAATCAACCTCATTCGACCTCATCACGGCTTGTCTCTGGTATTGTCGTACAAAAGCTTTAGAACTAGACCCACAAGACGAAGTTCGTCTCATGTTCCTGGCTAATGCACGTATGGGACGAGATAGATTCAACCCTCCATTACCAAAAGGGTATTATGGGAATGCCGTGGTGTTTCCGACGGCGTTTTCGATTGCTGGAAAACTGTGTGAGAGTCCGTTAGAGTATGGTTCGAAGTTGGTTAGAAAAGCAAAGGATGTAGTGAATGGCGAGTATTTTCACTCGGTGGCTGATCTGTTGGTGAGCAGAGGACGACCCAGTTTCACCACAGTGAGGTCATTCATTGTTGCAGATTTTTCTCGTCTTGGATTTAAAGATGTTGATTTTGGGTGGGGCAAGGCTGTGTTTGCTGGTCCTGCTTTGAGTGGACTTGGCACATTTCAAGGATTCACTTTCTACGTTGGATATACGAATAGTAAAGGTGAGGAAGGAAGAATCATACCTGTTTGCCTGCCGCCAGAAACCATGGAGAAATTTGCCAAAGAGTTGGATCTCTTGCTTAACAATGCTAACCAATCTGCCATTGATGGTTAATACGTAGATGCATGCAAAAATGCCGTCAAGTATTTGCATAGTTATTGTGTTTTTGTGTGTGTCTGTGTGTGTATGTGTGTGTATGCACGTCGTATATATGTTCATGTTTGTTTATGATGATGTCCGTTGTAATGCATTGAGGCTGTTCCGCAGTAGTATACCATGGGTACGGTAGTGGAGGTGCCTTTATTAATATGAGAGTTTTGTTTAGCAAACCATAATTTTCCAGTGAAGTTGTTGCTAAGCTAGATTGAAGTTTACCAGAAACCCCAATCTGATTCTGGGACTGGTGGTTGATATGGGATGATGATCGAGCCAGACAAATACTTTTGATCAGGTTGAACCACTTTGGTTGCTGGTAATCGGAGACATTATTGCTTCTGTGTATGGTCAGTTTGGTCATCTAATATATGCTGGGGGATGAAACCCTCTGGTGTCACCAACTAAGGAAAAGAAGAAAATATGTGACCAAGTAAGGCTTTAATAAAATCTTGTCCCATAATGGCTGCTACCTTTATGGTTTGATCCATTATCTCTGAATGTAGTGGATGTTAGTGGATAATTGTATTATGTAATGAACATAATGGTTAAAAGGAGCCATACTTTTTCTTTGCCAAAAAATAGAACCACAGATGATGAAATTTCTAATGTAACACTAACACTGCAGTGATTACATAACACTCTCAACACGGATTACGGAACTTTGCAACGGCTGACAAGTGACCTGGCTTTCATCTTACATGAAGAGAAAGAAATATAAACAAAACAAGAAAGTAAAATAGAAGAGCAGATCCAGTCGTGCTCACTCGTAATACACCATCCCATTCCCGATGTAGTCGAAACCTCACCAGCAAGATGATTATTTCTGCAACTTTCTCCAACCATCTACGTAATCAAGCAAAGTTGTCACATATTCTTAAATTATACGAAGTATATATAGGCTTAGATACAATTCACATTTGTCACATGCTATCAACAATTCACTAATTTGTTGCAATGTGCATGCTCTTCAACTAGCTTCAGGGCCTACATTATATTTTATATTCACATGAGATTGAGAGTAACAAACGTAACATTAAGAAATTTTTTTGAATAAAAATACGTAAAAATTTTGAACTTATCATCATAGTAAGTAGTTTCTCTAGATTGATGATATGTTGCAATTCACAACAACAATCTAGCAAATGAATAATCTTATTATCAGGGTATCGCAATTATATTGTAAAAAAATGCTTACCTGTCAGTGTTGGAACCTTCTCTTTATCTTCGCCTTCAAAATAGCAACTTGAACATAAATCCAATCATGCGTGTTTTCAAAGAAGTGGAAAAAGGAATGCCGCCAAGACTTTTTGAGAATTAAAGTCCCACAAACTCCCCAAAACCCAGTAATGAAGCCAAGAGCCATGCTCGCATAAAACCCAAAGCTTATGAGATTATCATCTCCATCTGCATCAATGTCATGTGCATTGGGATTCAGATTTGAAATCCCATCTTCTGGACATCTCTCTGTAAGTGGCAAGCCACAAAGCCCCTGGTTTCCTATATAACCGGAGGCAGTGAAGGATTGAAGTTGGGTGCTAGTTGGAATTTTTCCTGATAAATTGTTGAAGGCCAAGTTCAACATACTAAGAAAACTCAAATTTGAGAAGCTGATTGGAATTTCACCAGAAAGAGAGTTGTATGACAAATCAAGTGATTCCAACCTTTCCATTTGACCCATGTTGATAGGAATGCATCCTTTCAAATGATTTCTAGACAAGTTTAGGGAAGCCAATGCCACAAGTGCAGCTATGCTACTTGGGATTCCTCCTGTTAAGTCATTGCAAGAGAGATCAATGGTTTTCATGAATCGAAGATTCTTACTGTACTCAACATATGCTCCTTTCCATGACAACATTGCTGTGTCCATGAGTGATGATTCAAAATAGTTTCCAGAAACACGATAAGAAATTTCTTGGCTCACATATGTCATATTTGACATAGCATTCAAATTACCAAAGCAACGAGGTATATTTCCTGTTAAATTATTTTTTGAGAGATCTAAGATTTGAAGATGTGGCAAATTACATAAATTTGTAGGAATGCTTCCGTGAAGCCTATTTGCTTGCAAACGTAAGCCGATCAAATAGTGGCAGTACTGCCCTATCCATGATGGCATTTTTCCAGTCAAATTATTCTGTCCAAAATCAATGAACAGCAAGTACGAAGAATTCATCAAAGCTGGCAAATTCCCAGAGAGGTTATTGCTATTCAGATGGATACTTGCAAGAAAGTTCAAAGTACCAACTGAGTTTGGTATTGGTCCAGAGAAATGATTGTTTCCCAATCTTAGAACCTCCAAGAAAGGAAGTTGGCCCCAACAATCAGGAAGTTTTCCCGACAAAAAATTGCTTGAAATGTCAAGATGAGATAAACTTGCTTGAAGAGTTGCACAGATGAAAGATAAGGTTCCTGCAAACATATTGTTTGAGAGAAGCAACGCTCCTATTGCATTTGGTGGGAAATATGGTAGGGGACCGGAGAGATTGTTGAAACTCAAATCCAAATTAATATTGTCAATTTTCAAGAGTGATTTTGGCAACTCCCCATAAAGTTTGTTATGGGAAAGATTCAAGTATCGTAAAGAAGATTGCCAAAGCCATTGAGGAATTGAATCTGAAATTGACGCATGAGAAATGTCCAACATGTTAAGCTCCCTTTGATACTTTAACCAGCAGGGAAAGTGGGGACCAAAATTACACGATGCTGCACGAAATTCTCGCAATTGAAAAGGTGGCACCCAATGCGAACTGAAGTTGAAAAAAATATTGTGTGACACATCTAAATATGCCAAGTTAGAGAGAGTTGAAATATGTGTTTCATTAATGACAGAATTCAACCTATTGTTGGACAGATCTAAGTACATCAACGATATAAATCCGGCAAACACCGGCAATGGCCCTGTTAAATTGTTATAACTCAAATCCAATACGGAAAGGTGAGATAAGTGCCCAAATGATTGTGGAATTGACCCATGAAGACTAGTGTTCTCAAGATCTAAACGCACTAGATTTGAAAATCTTGAAAAATTGGGAAATGGTCCGCTACTAAAAGGATTGTCACTTAACTGCAAGTCCTCTATACTATTTTGAGCGCACCTTAACTGTGGTATCCAATCACTTAATTGACCTGAAAAATTGTTGTAGGCCAACCACAACCATTTCAATCGGCACAAATTGGGGATGGATTTTAGCATGCTGTTCTCAAGTTTATTCCCTTCAAGATACAGAAATTCAAGAGAAGTGGTGTTTTGGAAAGCATCTGAAGGAATATGTCGCAAAGAATTACCATAAAGAGATAAAGATTCAAGAGAATTCATATTTGAAAAAGTATTTGGAAAAATATGTTCCAAAGCGTTATTACTGAGATCAAGATCTGTTAAGACGTTGCTAATGTTAGACAGCCAGGGTAGGATTGCAGAGTCTAAATTATTTTCTGCAAGAGAAAGGTTTTTGAGGGACGTGGAAGAGTTTGTGTGGACAAAAGATGCAGGATTGAAATGATGAGATATAAGATCACAACCTTTCAAGTAAATCTCAAACAGATGAGGAGCTTTGGATAATGATGACTGCCAATCAAAAGCTTGACTTAGATTAACGCCTGAGAGGTCAAGAGATCTCAAAGAAGAAAGGTGAGAAATCCACTCAAGATCTTTCACAATCAAATCATTAGAGCTAAGGTAGAGAGTTTGCAAATTGGATAGATTTTGCAGCCCACGGGGAATAGTGCCACCAATTGAAGCACCCGGAATAGTTAACTCTCTTAGTTGACCAAGTGAGCCAATGCATTCTGGAATTTTGCTCCCTTCGAAATTGTTTCCATCGAGATACAAGTAAGTTAGATGCTGCAAATCACATAATGAGGAATCGATATTACCTCCCAAGGAACTAAGACCGAGCTCGATTACATGACCGGTCAAATTACTGCATGATACTCCACTCCACTCACAGCAATCAGCTTCACTTTTCCAGGTGGATAACATGCCGGACTCATCAACGAAACCATGTTTTAATTTGAGAAGAGCTTCCTTATCTGTCTCTGCGCAACTGATGTTTACATTGGAACATCCTGCACACCAAAAGAGACATAAAGCTCCAACAAGCCAAAAGAAATTGAACTTAGAGCTGAACATGCCTAGGATTCTTTTCATTTGGATATGGTAAGAACAGGGGAGGCGTCTTGTGGATGTGAAGTGAGTGATCCTTGGGTCATTTATACACAAGCGGCTCACCAAAGTTTTCAAATAATTTTATTTTAGAACGTAGAAATATTGGCGTCAACCAACGTGATAAATATTAATAACTCAGTAGAGGAAGATTTTTGGTTCATGAAAAAGGACTATAATTTTTATTTAAAGTAAAAACAATTGATGTTTAAAACATTCTTATCATTTAATTAATTTGATTAGTCTAAATTTTCTATTCAGAAAGCAAATTATCTGAATCAGCTGATGAAATTTTATTTGAAATGATTGTTTAATTTATAACCTCAAATTAATTCATCAATAGTTGACATTAATAACCCTCATATGAGGCATTCTGGTCATGAAAGGTCTCTAAAATTAATACGTAGAAAAGGTTGTCGTTGCATGAACGATTGATTTGTGTCATTAATCTTTAACAACGTCAGTGACACACTCATCGACATCACTATCATTTGAGGAAATTACCATTGACGATTATGTGGTTGGAAATTTTTGTTCATGCTGTGAGAAGGTTCGTCTCTTTTTTCGTTCTTCAATAGATGAACATATGGATCAGACTTGAACCAAGATCTACGTATAAAGCACAAATCACGCCAAATTTCTTTTAATTTTATTGAAGTTAATATTAATTATCTGAGTCTAATGCCTTCAGTAGAATTTTAAATTATTCATCCACATATATCATTATTTATTTATTTATTTATTTATTTATTCTGGTGAAATACGAGGAGCATATTTTACCAGCAGTAAAAGCTAATCTCTTTTGGGTAATATAATAAACAAATCTCTTCAGCTAAATTTTCTCCATTCACAATTATTAAGAACCAATCATCTAATTGACACGCATATTGTCTCATTTTGATTGGTTGAAGAATATATGTGTGTGAATATATGTATTACTTATAAAAATATTGTTATAATTCATCAAGTAGATGTCCGAAAAATATCACAGAACATCAATATTCTCTCAAAACCTTCCCTAATTTTCTAAAAAAATTTCCTATTTTTATTTTTTAGATATATGTATTAATTATAAAAATATTGTTAATAATACTTGTAATGAATCAGCAATTGCTTCTATTATTTTTTTTTCAGAATTCAAATTGCTTAAATTTCATTTGAGTTTAAGTTAAAAAAATTCTTATCATTTAATTAATTTGATCAGTTAAGTTTTCTCTTAAAATGGAAAATCGTTTGATAAAAGTTCATTTGAAATAATTATTTAATTTCTAACTTAAAATTAATCAATAGTTAATATCAATCACTCTCATTTGAGGTATTAGGGTAACAAAGGGCGTCCAGAAAAACAGAAATAAGAAGTTGCTGTAACATTCATGACTAACTTGTATCATTAATTTTTAATAATATATCTGACCGTTTTCTACGAAATTTTTGTGATCGCAAATTTTCATTCATGTCATATGAAAAGGTTCATCTCTTTAACTGTTTCAAGCTTGAATATGCCAATCAAGCTTGAATCAAAATATAAATGACGCCGAATTTAATATTCTGAACTTAGTATTAATTACATTTATATGAGACTATAAATGACGCCAAATTCCTTTTAATATTATTGAAATTAATATTACTTTCATTTATATATATGAGACTATAAATGACACCGAATTTTTTTTAATATTATTGAAATTAGTATTAATTTTATTTATATCAGTCTCATTCCGTCAAAATATAAAACTTAAATTGATCATCCACATATATCGTTATTTGTTTATTCTCGTGAAATACGAGGACCATACTCCACTGACCGTAACCATTAAGGCTATTCTCTTCTAATTGAACAGTTAGATATCAAAATGTGAAAAAAAAAAAATGAGTATGTTGCGTTAATTTATTAGTGCTTCCTCCCAATAATATAAATAATATAAAAATTAGATAACTAATTTAAAAATATTGGTTAAATTAATTATTTGAAATAAATATATATTGATTTTTTTTAAAATGTCATTACCAAGCGCATGCATTATAATTATCTTTTAATAAAATCTTGATATGTGTAATTAATAAATTTTTTTAAAATAAATTATAAATTATGACACAAAGGGAATTAACTATATCGATGGACAAACACGGCTTTGACTTAACAGAGTCAGAGTAAATTCCTACCTTATCTTTTTATAGCTAACGTGCGTCAGTTTGATTGGTAGAGGAAGAAGTGATATGAACGGGGTAAGGGCAAGGCGGTGCCTTAAATAATTACTCTTTTGTCTGTACCATATAAAATGGCAAAATCACTATTAAATTTTAAAATAATAAATATGTGATTTTAACATATTTTGACTCAAAATCATTAGAAAAGTAGTCAAATACTCAAAATTTTTTATAAGAGTAGTTAGCATGACATATTTATCATTTTAAAATTTAACAGATATTTTTCCTAATTAAGTTAAATCAATTAAAAAAATTAGTTATTTATAAAAAAAATGTTTAGAAAAAGTATAAATAAGAAGTTGTCGGGGCATGCATAACTGACAAGTGGCAATCGAATTTATTATTACCATCACTATCATTGACAATGATGTGTTTGGAAATTTTTGTTCGTACCGTGTGAGAAGGTTTTTCTCCTTTGTTCTTCTTCCTCAATAGATGAATACACCGATCAAACGTGAATCAAAATCTATGTATAAAATATAAATCACGATTAATTTCTTTTAACTTTGTGTAGTTAATATTAATACAAGGCAACAGCGGAGGGACTGTGGCTTTTCCAACTTTTCATACGTGCAAGTCATAATTGAATTAAAACTTAAAAGGTTAATTTTTCTCTTAAACTAAAAACAAAATAGATTAATATGTATTAACATAATTCCCACCTTATCTTTTCTTAGATACCACGTATAAATTGGTTGAAGAAGATACATATCAGGAGCTCCATTGACTTGAAGGTCAAAATAAATAAAAATTAAAAAGAATAAAGACTCGTTTGGCTCTTCTATAGAATATTCTACACGTAAAGACATAGATATTGCAGTAGTGGTAATAGAATTAATCAATGGTTAACATCAATCAATTTCATGTGAGGCATTATGGTCATGAAAGGCGTCTTAAAAAGTAGAAATAAAATATTGTCGTGGCATGTATGACTGAGTTATGCGATAAATTTCTAATTACGTAAGTAACACTTCTCGAATTTAGCAACACTGACAATCAACATCATTTGTGGAAATTATCATTAACAATTACGTGGATGGAAATTTTTATTTATGCCGTATGAGAAGGTTCATCTCCTTTGTTTTCTTCTTTTTCAATAGATGAATATATATACCAATTAAGCATGCGCATATATAATATAGATTACGTTGAATTCCCTTTAATTTATTGAAACTAATATTAATTTATCAATGAGTCTCTCGCCTTCAATAAAACTTCAAATTATTCATTCATATACTCCCTCGGGTCTATAATATAAGTCACTTCTAAAAGGATGAGTTGGTTCAAAATATAAGTCACTTGAAGAATAATTAATACTTGTTTATTAATTTTGTCCCTACAATTAATACTTAAATATAACTCATTGTATTTTTAACTCTTTTTCACAGCTTTGATTAACATGAACAAAATTGAAAAAGAAAATTTATTTAAAACACAATTAATGAATTAATTAACATTTTTTAATATGGATGAATTAGTTAAAATGACTTATATTGTGGACCAAAGGGAATATATCATCATTTATTTATTGTGGTGAAACACGAGGAGCATTAAAAGCTAATCATTTTAAGGTAATAGACCAATCCCTTCCAACTAAATGTGCTCCATTCACAAAGATTACGCATCAAACGTCTAATTCATCTATCTAACCACTTATTTAAAGTGTGGGAGTGCTACGACGCATGTTGATCTGATTTCGGATCCCGTAAACCAGTTAATTAAGTGAAAAAAAAAAACACTCCAAATTAAATTAAAAACATAAATATATACTCAATTTGCATTAATTAGATATCTATATCGATTTGCATAAATATATGAGTGAGTATATATATATCCAATTAGATATCTTTTGATTTGCATTAATTAGTAGCTTGCTAATAGCATGAACTAGCTTTGATTGATCAGAATCAGAATAGTAGGTATATATTATATAATTCCTGCAGGGAGTTTTAAAACATAATACTTGATGGTTTTTCTTTGTAACCATCAAGTATTTTAAAATAATATTTGACGTCTATAATGAAAAACTGTCAAGTATTATAAAACTTGACGGTTTAATCTTTAAACCGTCAAGTTTACCTTAACAATACTTGATGGTTATATTAAGTATTATTATAGAAAACTTGACTGTTTTTAAAAAACCGTCAAGTATTATCGAATGAAACTCGACGGTTCCTATTAAAACCGTCAAGTTTTCTCCCGACATACTATATTTGAAGGTTTTTTGTTATAACCGTCAAGTATTTAGCGTCAAGTATTCCTTATTCTGTAGTAGTGTTGGCTTTTCTTTTTATAGATACCATGGATTTGTTTGATTGGTTGCGGCACACACACACACATATATCCCCCGAACTCCATTGACTTCAAGTTCAAAGAAAAAAAACAAGAAGAAAAAGAGAAAAAAAAGTTTCTACACGCAAGGACATAGATATATTTTGAAGTATGATTAGAGTACGTGTCCGAAAAATATAACACAACTATATTAATCCATTTTATTTGTTTTCGAATATATTTTCCTCTGATCCATACTTCAAGTCTCTACATTAAACTGCTTTTGGTTGAAACTCACGGTTGAAACAACAATATGATGAAGGGGAACTAGGATGTGTGTGTGTGTGGCTTGCAACATAATTAAAATGCTGGGGAATGAGACTAACTTCAAAATAAACTCCAACAAGTGATGATGGGATAATCTTAATATCAATTAATTTATTAATTAACTAGAGTTTGGGTGATAACACCATATGGGTCATACTGATATGTGATTGGCCCGACCAGAATATCAATATATTAAAATATAAGTCGCT